AACATGGAAGCACTTAGGGCCAGCTTACGGGGAAGAACTCACTTGCTCACTAGATTCAAAAAGAGAATGCTTTATCCCTAGCTTGCTTTCCTCCTAAAATAAAAGAAAGAGAACTAAAAGACTAGCCTCTAGCTTGCTTACCTTCTTGAAAAAGGGATTGCTAGAAAAAGATTAGCCAATGGACTGGCTTTCAAATGAACTTGCTAAAAAGAATCCTGCTTTTGCTTGTTCTTTGCAGGTACCACCTGAAGAAAAAGCAGGGCCCGAGTGGAACTGAACGCGCTCTATCTTCGCTAGCCCAGGAGGACTGAGTCCTTCCACCATGTGATTAGGTTGTCCAAGCCCTTCCTTTATCCCTTCATGCCTTAAACATGCCCTTCTCATCCAAATCTTCCATGCATGTCAGTCTAATCTAACCTTATAGGTTTATCACAGTAAGCAAGAGCAGTCTTAGGAAGCCCAAGTCCGAGTGCTTTGAGTCAATTCACGCCCTATAGGCAAGGGAATATGTTGAAATTTCTTCTTCCCCCACCACGGATGAAAGCGTGACAAACTGAACAGATAGCGAATTCTGTGACTCATTTCTCACCGCGTCTACATCTATCCCCATGGCTTTGAGGCTTGACAGACCTTCCCCCATACTAAATAGATAGGAACATTTGTCTTCGCCTTAACTGCGAAAAAGCGAACCCTATCTTGTCGAGAAGCAATCCTATTGGTTCGCTCGTAGGCAGCTGATTGCCTTTTTCGTTACGCCGACAAGCTAATAGCTCGGGAGGGCGGGGAGTCCACATACGTTCATTAGTAGGGCAGGGCTTCACGTCACGCATGCTTATTTAAGCTAATTTGCTGAGCCTTTCACACTAAGCTCTTCGATCCTGCCCTGCTCCTCTCTAGGCATTGAGCGATAGCTCATGACTGGTATATGGATCTCCATATGTATTGGACCGATCCCATATCCGAAAATTGAAGGACCTGGCCGAGGCAATACAGATATAACCAGGTGCTCCTGATCGAACAGAGCTCCAAAACATGGAAAAGAAAAGTACTTAAAGCTTTAAGGAGTATGCCCAAAGGTGGAGAGATAAAGCGGCACAGGGCCAGCCCCCTTTCCGAAAAAGAGATTCTTTCTACTTTCCTAAATACACTTCGACCTCCATACTATGACCGGATGTTGGGAAATGCCTCAACTAACTTCGAGGATGTTGTAGTAATCGGAGAACGAATCGAACAAGGAATCAAGAGTTTAAGGGTTTCCGACCGCCCTTCCGAATAACTTTGGTGTCATGGCTGACTGGATACAATTGCTTCTTAAATTTAACTCTTGAAAGGCATCCCAAGTATCGATAGTGAGCCTACCTTAGTAAGAAAAAGGTATACCTTAGCGCTTACATGTCTCGATTGAAGCCAATTCAAGTTTTTCCTATTCAATCTTTATTATAGAAATAGCACTTCCTGTATTGGGAACTTGAGATTTTTGAACAGTAGACTACGGAAGGTATGATATTACTCCTACTTCGAAAAGTTAAGCTCGATGGCTATAGGTTAACCTGGCTGGCAGAGAACTTCCCTTGGCTTGACTTATCTAGTTTACTTTTTCTTGTTGAACTAGCTTAGTAGGCCCTTACCTTTTACAGGTAGTACTGCTAGCCCTTAACTCCCAGACCTGAGAGCTCACCCGCTTCCTTACTCACTGGCACTGAAATTAGATCCCTTTCTTACCTTGCTGTTCTAGAAATTGAAGAGGCAGCTACTGGTTTGATAAGGAAACTTATACTATAACATATATATCTATATGTATTCTGTTTTGATTCCCCTTATAGAGCCTTCTTGGTTGGAAAGAAGGTCCTTCTACGCCCGTCAGAAACGACAATGTATGTATGTGGCACGAAACCCAGAAACACGACGGCAAGGGAATGCCGCTACACTAACAGGAGGTAGCCAGGACTCGCAGACGAATCTCTTAAGCAATATCTTATACAGGACTAAACTAGATCAATTACCCTACGACTGCTGGCTTTCACTGTTTTGATGTACTTGAAGAGGATTGTCAAAGGCTTTCTTCTTTACTGGCTGTAACGTAACAAGCGAAGCACTTACACTCGCTCGATTCCTTCATTTAGAACTTAAACTGGCTCTAGAGGAGTAGGACTTGAACCCTCAATGGCTGGACCGACAGCAAAGGAACCTGGTCACTCGCTCGAACCCATATTCCATAGAGTACTTCACTTCCTCTCTCCCTTACACCCTGACACTAGATAGAGGGCTGTAACGTACTCATACCTTCAAAAGGCGGAAAAGAAAGCAGAAGGAATGGATAGGTATGTAAAAAACCTCCTATATCCATGGAACCTTTTACTCCCTAGGTGCTTCTTTTCCTTAGAGTGAGGAGTGTCCGGGAGACAGCGCCCTAACCCTAGAATTGGATTATTATCCTTAGTTGAAAGCAGAAAAGATAGAAAAGGCAAAAATCTCAATTCTAAGCAGTTTCCGACGAAAAGCGTAGGTATCTCTTTTTTTGGTTTAAGTGTTCTAAGAAGTGAAAACCCGGAGCGCTATAAGCTAGAGTCAAGACTTTCGAAAGTAAGACAACGCCAGCGGAGAATAATAAAAGAAATGAGCTTGCTTGCAACTAGTTTAGCCAGAAAAGTGGAGACCGCCTAGCCTAAAAGAATGGAAACCGCCCATTAATAGGCCCATCCGGCTTGGTTGCAGAAAAGAGAACAAATAAAGACTTTCTGGGCGGGGAAAGAAGGGGTCAAGGACCTAGCGATGGCAAAAACTGGTTGTCACGGGAAAGGAAGAAAAGAGATAAAGGTAGGGAAGGCATTGGTAGGGGACATCACCGTATACCGAACTATCAAAAAGAGAAAGTTTTGGGCCCTTAACCGAAAAAAAGTATTGATAGGGAAACTCCTTGGAGGGGCAGTCTCCCAGCTACGTATACTAAGGCAAGAATTCGAACCAACTTCCAACCTGGAGTGGAGCCAGTGAGGCTGTCCCAGTACCATGCTCATTACGCTAACCGAAAGACCATTTCCACACTTATACCGAAAAGAGTTCTTGTCAATATCTTGAGCCCCATACTGCCAGCACTGCATATTGGCTCTATTCTTTGGCTCGGCATTGCACCAGAGCAAGGAGCAACAGAAAGTACAATGGCTCTTGGAAGGCAAGCGATATATCAAAGTGCGCTTGAAGCAGCGGAGCAGGTGCAAATGGGGCAAACCCAAGGGGA